TCCTTACAACTATTGAATAGCTTTACACCATTTATTTTACTAGAAGGACCTTTCAATAAAACTGTCCGTCAACGTCCAAATTTTGAACAACAAACTTGTTTGTCCTATACTTATGCTTTCATTTGTGTAAATGAGAAAACACAAATGTATTAATTAATAATGCATAAGCAAGGGAAAGGTTTAAAACATTTTTACCTGGATGTGAGATTATCTATATCACTTTAATTATTTAAAAATGTAAAATTTCCCCAATGTCACAATTCTTCATGTTTTGATTTTGGTATTTTGTGCCTCTTCGTCATTGCTCTTTCTCTGGCTGACATCTTTTTCATTTCAAATCAGATAACTAATAAAAGTACAGGTCTACTATGTTCAATCATAAAAACACTGAATTTTCAACATACCATCTGAAATGAATGACTTTAATGACATTTTTCTTTTTAAGTTTACAGTGTTTTTTTTTTCATTGTTCAACAAGTCCCAGTTCATCCAAATTTCTGTACTTTCAGATCTGATCTTTCTCTTTGCTCCCATTTTCTCCTTTAAAAGATGATATCTCAAAAGAATATGTGATGATCTCTCCCTTGAAACCTCTCCTAAGTGTTGGTTCTTTACAGCCACATCCCACTGTGCAATGGTTTCATCTTTTCTTCATTAAACCAGAAGTCAAACATACAGTAAATAAGCACCCACACGGCTTATACAATCTACTTTTTTCTGCCACTTACGTACAACCTTCACTTTTATAGGTCTAAACTTTGAAGTTTTTAAAAATAACAAAATACAGCATTAAGTAGGTGTACCTACTTTTTTTAAAGATACAATGTAAAACCTGATAACAAAAGGACCTTTAATAACAAAAGGACCAGTTGACTTTTCCATCACTTAAAGAGCCCATTTGCCCAGTAAGGGTGCAAAAGGAAAATGATTAAAAAAAAACACCCCCCCCCCCTCAACAACCCCTGTCATTCCTTGTCATTCTCTCTGTCACCTGAGGTGATATCTTCCTGGGTTGGACAGCAGTCATCATCATTTAGCCATATTGTTCCACACTAACACAAAGTGTTTTTACATATCTATAATTTTAGCAGTCTACCCCTCCCCTCACTTAATGTTCCTGGCTCTGCCCTCTTATTAAACCATCAACACCGCCAAGATTTGGACAATAAGAGTCATTTTGAAATTCCGATGCCCACGGAAAAAAAGGAAATCCCCAGCTCTGCCCACTGTCTGCCCAGCCATAATCACATCTTTATCTCAAAGATTGCCGGTTCTTTTTTTTGGTCTAATACAACTAACTATTGTCATATGTGTACTATAATTTTTATTGTTTATCTTGGTCTTATTTTAAGCTTTAAATCTATAAATAGACAGTAGTAAACTTACACATTATTTTTTGGTGCTATTAGACTTTGTGTGGGGGATCATTCTCTAGTTACCAAGTTTATCCAAAGATTCCTCATGGCTGAATCATATCTAAGGAGAGCAGCAACAAGATGATGAAAGATACTTTTATAGGAAATATTAGAATATGATAACTGACACGAAGTAAACAATCCTACTACCATATTTATATTGTGAGAGTCTTGTAGTATATACCGAGTCAGCTTCATGTAAATCTCTTCTTTAGTGAAGATAAACTGAATCAAATTAATATAAAAATGAAGAAACAATGCAGATGTCCAACCTGAAAAAAGTTTTAAGGATACCAACAGATTCTGTTAGATTTGTGTACTTTATAGGAAAGTAACATAAAACAAAAAATCTCCTAATCCTAATCTAATGCAAACTTATACAGACAGACAAACAGGCCATGACCTCTGTCACGAAACAAATTCCACAGAGAATAATGGATCAAACAAGGCTATAAAACTATACAGACTTCTGAGCCCAATATATTCTGACGTTTATATCTTAAAATAAGAGACAAACTCAAGTTTGGACTAAACATTACAGTAATGCATTGTCCGGAACCGCGCAAATTTAGATATAAACGTAATTTGGAATTAGGCTCGAAATACGGACACCGTTGGAAACTTTTAGATACTTCCTTATCACTGGCTTCTTAATGCGACAGGTAAACAAGCCTTACTCAGCCTCTTCAAAATTGACACAATGTATTATAGAGAATAAAATAAAAGTTATGACTTGAAATTATTGACATCGTCCATGAATTATTAAATGTCTCCGACAGCATGTACATGCTATCAGACAACCAAATATTTGTAATATGTATGAACATAGAAATAACACACACAAAAAAAAGATTTAAACGAATAGTTTCTTGAAACTTGGACCCATCATATACATATGCATGTATGATGCGTCCAAGCTTGAAATAAAGATATTATACATTGGTTTTTTTCTTTTTTTTATTATAATATTTTTTTAGTATGCATACTATGATGTAAACAATCCCAAACTGATGCAAGGGTCTCACTGGCATACATACATGATTGACGCAAGTAAGCTTATCAATCGTACCCATTTCAGGAAAAGTAAGCGGCAATTTGTGTTATCAAGGGTGACCACTACTCTTTTGTGGTGTTACACAAACTGGCCACATTCATTAAGACCACAAATACTGACCACAATAATGTGGAACCTTAAGGTTTTATTTTAAAGACCCGCACAAGTGTAGGAGGGGAGGAGTGACACTGCAATTTCTTTTGAATATGATTAAATTTCAAGGAATTCACTTTTCTAAGACATTGTACATGAAATTTGGACTGTTGGAGTCCTTTGATTCACCACAGTAAAGTCATCTTACCTCTCAGAGGTCAAAATATGTTTTTTGGAGAAGTGTTGAACAAAGGCAGGGAATACCCCCCCCCCTTAATCACCAATCACCATTTCCTTACAGTGATCCTCATAGTGATCCTTATTTCCACTGTATTTCAATGAATGCATTTAGCAAACAAAAATTAACAAAAAAATTGTTCAATTTTACTTTTTAATGCCCAGTTGCACACCTCATCTCTCTTTCATTCTCTCTCTCTGTGAACCCCCTTTTGAAAACCTCATGCTGAATTCAACAGTGTATGGAAATTGTTAGCTGCACTGTATCTCATTACTAGGAGAAGAGTCAAAAGTAACAAAATACAGCTGTCTATTGCAACAGGTGAGATCCTTATGAGACAACTAGGATCATCAGGGACCTGTCAGATCATCGTAATTGGTAGGAGCTTTCAAATGGAAACAATAGGATTTGTGTGAGAATAAAAAAAGGAACTGTATGTTTGCAGAGGGTGAAAAGGTTATTTCTTATATCAACCAAAAAATAATGCAACTGTTTGGAAAGAAATCAACGATTAAAGGCATCACTTTGTGTGGTATACATACAGAGATAGCACCTAGGCAAGTAACTCATGTACAGACACGAATGCCACCTGGGGATAAAATTAGAAGGACCTTTGAAAAGTTCGCCTAATTCATGTAAATAATTTTGTTTACAAAGATAACACAGAGTTAAAATAGTATCTAATTTGTTTAGAGTATCAGTAGGTGGTTTGTCTTGTGCGAGGCACCAGGCCTCCTCAACCTTTTCATTAGACGATCTAAATACCTTCAAAGTTGCCGCCATATTGAGCAACATGGTAAACTACTCAAGATACTTCCCCCCTGCTTTTACAGAGAATACTTTGCCACAAAATGTGTCTTCCTACTGTTATGACTGATTTGTTGACTGAAAAATATTTACATTTTCCCAGATAATTTTTCTAAGAAAAGACTTGTGGTTTGTAGTATAAAGTGCACTAAAGCAGACGGAATGTTGTGGGGTTATTGGAGATTACTACATCAGCGATAAAAAGAACCAAAATAACACTTCTCTTCTATGTCTAAGTTTCTTTGATAAAGACAAGCATATTTGCTAAGAGAAGAAACAGTGGGTAGGTACCAAGAGAAATATTTCAATATCACGGGGGCTTTTACCCAAGATGTACATTTTGTGATTTTTAAAAATGTCATTTACTTTTCTGCTTTGCCAAAACCTGACCTATTACTCAATAGCTATTGCTAGTCATATCAGTTAATGGCAAAGGAGAGAAATGATGAAAAACATGAAAATATTTTCATATTAAAGAAAATATAAATTTTATTCTTCAGTCTGTCATTTCTTCTGTCATTTCATTTGCATCTTTATGTAAAGCAGAAATAAATTTTGTTCTGTATTTCTTTTTTGTAATCATTATGTTCTGCTATGTGATATGAGCAGGCATTTATTCTTTCATCAAACCAGCAATGTGCACTTCTGTGCTGCCAGATCCTTCTTTGGGTCTGCTTCAGTTCACCCACACATGAATGAACCCAGATGGTAGCTCAAGATCCAACTTCCCTTTCAGGAAAATGTTTACATAATAATTCCTTTGAAAATGTCTCCACAACATTTCCTACAGAGCCACAAGTACAGCAGGTTTCACAATGCTTATCCAATGAGAAAAAAAGAAATCTACCAATGTTATGTCTTTCCCTGCCCTCAACAAGAATTCTGCTTAGCAGGTACTTGTTCATGTATAGCCATATCTACTGAAAAGCATGAATGCATTTAAAGCAATGTTACAAAGAAGTCTTGCAAATTGATGCTGTTATAATCCCCAGACCTGCACTTATGTTCAATGTCTGTGTACAAATTATACAAGTTTTGATCTTGAAGCTATGGGGCCATTCAGAATGAGAAGATCCGAGTGCTAACTGGTCCACGGCCTAAATATGGCGGACCTACATGTAAAGAAGACCGCTTAATCCTGTAATGGCCTCTTCACCTCTTTCATGCCTCTCCATGCGTCATATCTGCAGTGGCACAGTTATTAAATCTTGTCTCAATTCGACCGGTCAAGGGAAGATGCGTGGGGAGGCATGTGAGAGGAGGAGAGAGACCACTACAGGATTAAGCAGTCTTCCTTTCATGAAGGTCCACCATATTTAAGCCGTGGACCAGTTAGCACTCGGATCTTCTCATTCTGAATGACCCGTATCATTACTCAGTGGTCCACTACTCCTGCCACCAGTTTATCTGCATGTGCATCCCAGATATCACTCAAGTCTCTCCAAGAAACACCATGGCAAACGCTCACCTGATTTGAGGTGAGGGGGGATTTCCTTTCACTCTGTCATACAAAATATATAGTTCCTTCCTCTAAAATACCAGCCTTTTTACAAGTCCACCTACAAAATACAAAAAAGACAAAAAATATTTATCAAAATCAAATACTCAACATCAATCTGAAATATTTCATTTTCCATTTTCTGTTGTAAAATGATATTTTAAAGCAACAGACACCTGTAATGTTAATTAGGAAAAAGTCAAGTGAGTGCTCATAATACACGCAATGATACAGATAGGGCAAAAGGTGTACAGCTACTTCATCACAACAGAAAATAAATCTATAAAATCATACCTACACAGTCAAATATAGACTGTCCATCTGCTATTTAAACAAAAAGCCATATTTCTCATATTTGTGCTTGAACAATAATCTAGTATCAAAAGAAGTTTATAAAAAGATATTTTACATCCGATTCTACACAAAAGGCATGTTTGCCATGTCCACCCCTACAAAAGGGGAAACAGTTCACTAGTGCCAGATCAGAGATGGACATCAAAGACACATCCTTATTCTCCTGTAGGATGTGTGCTAATACTTAGGATACACAGCCACCTACATGTACATAAAACTTATTTCAAAATGCTGGTGCAACTCAACAAGAACAGGTGGACAGTCTATGACAACCTGAGTGTGATCTAAGGATTTAGTGTATATAATATTATTTATCTTTTACTAGGTCCCAACATTAGATAGTAGTCAAGAACACAGGTAAATAAAAAAATTCTAATACAAAATTTTCGTGAAATATAACAGTAACACATTTTCAGACTCATTCCTTCGTTTGGTCGCTAAAAAAAGGGAAAAAAGCATTTGTGACTTAGGCTTCGTTCACATGAAAAATCTATTTTCTAAAAATCTATTTTCTATTCGCGGTATCTTGTGATCACGGTCTGTACCCTGAATACCCCGCGGCGTAATTACTGGCAGCGCGAGCCAGTTACTTCCAAAGCTGTAATCAATTCTCGGCTGCACTCAGAGTGATCACAAGATACCACGAATAGAAAATATATTTTTAGAAAATAGATTTTTCATGTGAACGGAGTCTTATTTAATAACAACTAACTGGAACTGTTCCATATCTGCTTCCACAGAGAAATTCAGGTTTCCTCTAAAAATGTGCATTTTATACAAAACATTTTTCAACAGTTCTCTTTACACATTTCATGCCCCTACACATATTTTCTTTATTTTATCATTTTAGTCCATTATAAATTACAAAAAAAATAATAAAATCACATCTTGAAAACAAAACAGGTATGCACCCTAATGTTTATTACCTAACCAAGTGACAGAATAAAAAATATATCCTGCACTGTTTCACCTCTGATGCTACTTTTTTGTAAGGACAAAAGGTCAATAAGTCTGATATCTGAGGTAGCCCACCAGTTTTTCTGTAATCTAAGAAGGAATGAAGACTATGTTAAAAGCATGGAGTCTGTTTTACACCAAACTTATGTTGTGCAGACCCAGTCAATGTCCAACCTGTTCTTACTAAAAACTAAAAAAAATACTATTCTTCCTCTGGGCCTACAGGCAAGTTGGAAAAGGTTTACCATGGATATTTATAGTCAATTTTTAAACACAGCTAATCATGGCATTTAGAGGGTGAGAAATCGGACCTTTTCATGATTTAACTATCAACCAGTGTTTCTTCCTTCTGTCATATTGCTTAATGATACAGAGTGGTTTGTCTAAAGTCAATTAGTAAACACACACAGGTAAACAAACTTGTTTCCTTTGATCTCGAGACTAAGTGGGTGTCGGAGAAGCTGAATCATACCAGCTAATCTGGGTGAATTCAGTTAAAACGCAGGATTTCCAGATAACGGAGCAATCCCATTGGGTAATCGTAATCTCTGAGCTAACACAGGCTAAAATGTTTCAAGTAGTTGGGATTGATTCCGCACTTAAGAACTACTGTTAATAAGGGTGGTGGCTTTGATTGATGATATCACTTACAATTAATTCCTACCCCTTAAGACCCACAAATGTTACTACCAACTTGTAATATAATATAATATAATATAATATAATATAATATAATATAATATAATATAATATAATATAATATAATATAATATAATATAATATAATAGGTTTGATATATTTGTGATTGCCTTTACACATCTAGCAGTAAAATGGGAAAATACGAAAGATGCAAGTGCTTTTCAAACTTCTAAACTTATCCAATGTGTTACATCAAAAACTATTTCATGAATTAAAAAATACATTGAAAGGCAAAAGACAATTATAATGGGTTACAATAGTAGATTGTTTTCATCAATTTTTTCTATAAATTTCCATAAAGCCTTTCCATTTTCTGTCTTCCAAGTTCATTTTTTGTTGTTGATACAAAGAAAATCTATAACTTATAAGATATTTTACTTTCCACTGATAACAAAAATCTGTTCAATAATGCAGTTTTAATTGACCAACAATTACTTCCTCAAAGAAAAATCACTGTCTATAATGTGAACTCAAACTTAGTCAAACAGAAAACACGTTCTTACATAAATAAACAACCCAAAAAAATTTAATCAACCGAACACGTAAAAAAACATGTCCACCATAGCAACAGCCATCAATATGCCGACAATGAACTGTAATGTCAACAACATGGTTTTGAATAATTAATTCCTTAATTAATATTCTTATGAAGAGGCTGTTCCACAACAAACTTTCTCCAGTGGGCCACCAATCACAAAGCAATCAATGCCAGTTCTGGAGAGCACCCAACCTCAGGCTGATTTTGAAAACAATGTTTAACCCCTAGACTCCAATATTCCAAGCACTACAATCAATTTAGCACATTAGCGTGACTTCTAATCTGGCCTCTCTTGTTCCCTGTGTCTACAACTATGTCTTCTTATCAAGTATTACTAAATACCCATTTGATAAAGAAGCTTAAAGTCATATTTATTATTTTTGAATCAGGTGACAGACAGCTTTATATTATTCCAAAGAGAATTTTTTTCACATTTCATCATTTTCAACCTTTAAAGCAATCATCTTCCCTCTTTGTTTATGTTTCTTTAGATGTTTACAAAACTGAGTGCTCACAAAGCCCAGATGCTTACATCTATTATTCAATCTATAACGTGAGAAAACAAAAATATACCAATTAAAATAAGTCCAGATTATTGGACACACAGTCTAGTGATTTTCTCTATTGTTTTTACCACCAAAATACCCCCTATGTAGACTTCTTTTTAAGTCCACCTCCCTTTGTCTTTACCTCATGCAGGGATAGGGGGCTAAGAAATTAATACTTTCTTTGTGAATGAAATGTTCACACGCATTGATAGTGCATCAATTAATTTATCAATGCCTCTGATTTTTCAATACAAAATCTTCCAGATGCGTGAGTCATTATTTGCTATGACATTACACACAAACATTGCACACCTATGGATACAGGTATTCAGGGCACAGAGACTATCAAATGACCTCTCAAAAATTATCAAATTCAATAACTTTTTATTAAATTAACATAACAATGGTGCTTAAGCCTCCAGTTGTGGAAATTGTTATCAATCTACAGAACATCTAAGGTAATAATATTTTCCCTATTCTTATCACTATGATACCATTGCAATTTTAGATCTAATATGTCTGTGGACATCAGGACTTCAATGAATTCTGACTCTGGTATTTTTGGTATTTATACATCTTTTCGATCCTATTTTTTCTGCATTTCTGCCTGACAGTTGGCAGATGTCACCATCTGAGGGTTATTCGGTGCATGTCTTGACCAAAAGTCTGTTATAAAGTTTTCAAAACATTAGGACATCACTTTGTTCGTTGTACTAACTGCCCTTTTGAATCTCAACTTCAACACCTTTTTTTTTCCTTCAAGATCTCCAAGTTGTTCTTATGGCACATACTTTTCATTCTATAATCTTCATGAACCAAAAGCCTTTATAAGTTACCAGTTACCCTGACTGATGCTTCAAAATTGCAGTAAAGATTATCTCTCTGTCATTAATAAAATTTAAAGTTGTGATAAAGAGTTGAGAGAAATGTAGAGAGAAATTTTAAGGGTAGGCATATCACTTATGTATTATATCTTAGTCTTTAATAATAAATGGAAATCAATTCCTCTTTATTTTTGAGAGAACAGATTATTTCACAAGAACAGAAGCTTACTGACCCCTGGTCAAGATATTCATGATATAAAACTGACCACAGACAAAGTGAACGTGTCTGTAGTACTTTCCAATCTCCTTATTTCCACAGTTTAAATGTGAATGGTTTGGCATATTGACCAAGCTTAAAGACCATGTTTTCACCTCATACAGAAGATTTCACATATGACTGGGCACATTTTAATCCGTTTCGATTGAACCATCCAAATTTAACAGCCAATTGCTCCATATAGATTTACTTTAGCCATGGTGGTAACAGGATTAATTAGGCACTTCACGCTGAGTCTGATACCTCAATGGCATTCACTTCTATTGGTTTATGAAATTGATTGAAGAAAACTCTGAATGAGATTAAAGTCGTAAAATTTCTCCCAAGTTTCCGATTCCAATTCATGGTCACTACAACACACTATAACAAAACAACCGAATTCTATGAGACAGGGAACTAAGGTCCAGTGACTTCCAATGGACATTGAGTTCAAAGGTATCAAAAAGTCAATGATCTGAATACATCACATAAAGGCATCTGATCATGTCCATTCATTTCCTCATCACTCCTTTGGATTGGAAATCTTTCTGTTCCAATAATACACACACTTATCTATGGACATGAATGAAGAAAGGTGTTAATGATTACGAAGCATAAAATGGATGTTATAATGACTGCAATCTCAGCATGTGGGGAAGGTAAAGGGCAAATGTTAAATTGAATGGTCTCTCCAATGTCCACCAAGGTAGAAAGAAAGGGCATAATCAATAGTATTTATAAGTGATTATTTGTTAGTGCTGTTTTAATGACCGGTAAAACAAAGGTCAGTTTTTTTCCTGACCACTTTTTTTACTTCATTACACCTAGCTCATAACTTAAAATCCTGTCGTAAATACAACAACTAAGGTCAAGCCTGAACAAGCC